ACAATAGCCCCCCCCCCCTGTCACGTGGGTAACGGGGGGGGGCCCAATTAATTTAATTTGCGTAATTGCACCACGCTACCAGAATCGCAACATTTTATACTGGAGGATTCTGATGGGCTGTGACGATATTTTTTTTCTCTCGTAGATATCCAGCGGTGTGCCACTGCATGAGCAAAGGTTGGCTAAGCACGGCGCGAAAGATGTTCAGCGTACATGCATCATTCTTCGCTTTCCTTTAATTCCGACGATGGGAAAGCCACTGCGAGCAGCTGCACCTCAGCAGGCCTCGCGTCGTCACGAGGGAAGATCGCCTCGGTGGGTCGAGAGGATCTGTGGCATCGCCGGGGCTGGGTTATTTGTCGTTCAGAGCACGTCCTGCGCGATGAACAGTTCGGTCATCCCCCTCTCCCGCAGCCTGTCTCTCGCTGTCTCTCTCTCTCTCTCTCGGTGTGCAAAGAGCCGTGCCCGAATGGCCGAATCCTCAACCACCTCCCTCCCGCCCCCCCCCCTCTATCGCTGTCCATCCCTTTCTGTGTTCGGCTGTCGCTCTGCCCTAACACAATAACCCCAACCCAAACTCTTCCTTCTCCATGTCTCCCTGTGCGGTTCAAGCAACATGCCTTCTAAACCCGACCCTAAATCTAACTGTCATCGTAAGCACCATCTCTGTCTCTCTCTGTCTCCCCTTGTGCTTTGTAGACACGAGGACCGTGCCCTAACTCTAACCCAAACCTCTAACTCTAACCCTAAACCCAACCTGAACCCCTAAGCTAAACTCGAACTCATACTCTTAACTCGAACCCTAAACATAAACCCTTACCTAAACTCTAACCCTAACTCAAAACTCTAACCCTAAACCCAACCATAACCGGGTTTATTGATTCACGAGTTGTGGTGGGGGTTGTTTCGTTGTTTTTTCACGGGTGAATGGCAAGTGGGTGGCTTGCGCAGGGTTCGATATCGAGCAGGGCTGTGTGGAGCTAAATACAAACAATCAGTCGCATCCACCGCGTTCCACTCCGCACGCTGGTGCAGCTGTGAACATGCCCCCTTTCTAAATCGGGCAAATCATTTGGCGTTAAAATGAAATATATATTTTTGATTTTCGTGAAGCGATGTTTTAGGGCAATGCCCCCTTCTTCATAGTTCACGCGAGGAAGGGAAATTTCCCGTAGCGTTGCCTAGTCTATGTGGGGGTTTTTTTCTTCATGTTAAGGCCACGCTGTTATAGCCGAACGTGTTGAGTTTTTTTGTTTGTTAATATCAACATAGGGGTGCGACAATTTACACCCCCTCTGCGCCCTCCGCTCGCACCCATCTCCCATTCAATGAATTTCCACAAATCAAGGCTATGATGTGGTTGATTAATCGACTTTTCGCCTCGTTTTTACCATCGAGTTTGGATCGGTTATTGCTCTCTTCTATCTGATGTGTGCAGTTTAATTCGTGCTGACAGCCTAAATGTAAAATTAGCATATGATTTGCATTATTCAAAAAGGCACCTTTAAACATTGTATGTATGTTGAACTTCTTTCGCAACGTACATAGACAACCGTGTTAATCTTGGTGTGGTCGAGGTTTGTTGTGGTTGTTTTGCTGCCTTGCCCAAGCTTGCATTTGGAAATAATGCACTGGTGCAACTTGAACATGCGATTTGACGGGTGTATCATGAGTCTTGAGAATCGATATCAATTAAGTAATCAACACATCGTCACACCACTTCTCTTAATATCAATAATATTCTGATGCTGGCCAGCATGGGTTGATGAAGACTGTGGAGCATAGCTGTGGGAACACAGAATCACAGTACAGCAATGCATTTTGCAGCACTACCCACCATCCCACGTGTACAAAGACAAAGATCCCCCGTGTAGCCTTAACAGACTGCTGGGGCCGCCTTTGTCTCCCTAGTGGCAATTTTGACACACTGTACCAGGTACCTATTGGGCTTGGCTATGAGTGGGAATTGAACTCGGGTCCCCGGGTCCGTAGCACAGCAAGCTAACTGCTACACTGCCGCTCCCCATAGAGCATGGGCATTTAAATACAGCAGAGGGGCAGATCTACATTACTTACACTGCGGTAACGGAATCAGACGTTTTGGAGCGTGTTGATTTGTGCTCTGTGTATTGTGTGGGGCGAGCGAGCACGCATGTGCGAGCGTGCGAGCGTGCGAGCGAGCACGCGCGCGTTCACCATATCTGATTGCACATATTTCAAAACACACTGGTCTGATAAAGCCTTGTCGGAAAAATAACGTTTGTTTCAAAAATAAAGATAAACTCAGTTTTATAGAGCACTTTTCAAATTGGTATTCTAAAAGCGCTGCACATCAGAGGTAAAAAAAAATCTTATTGAAGTAAAACACTGACACACCAGTAAAAACCCAGTCATAATACAATAAAACCAAAAATATCTAAATAAAAACATGGGCAACTGACTATTGGCGGAACCCATGGAAGCTACGGAAAAAACAACTTCCCTTTCGAGAAGAAGAATAAACAATCTGAAGGGACCTGGTAATAATTTATATAAAATCTGACGTGGAGCCCTTGGCGATGCTCCGATGTAAACTTTACATGTGTGCCCCTGATGCATCGAAGGCGTCACGCGGTGTGCCACCGGCATCGTGGTGTGAGACATAGCGGGCTGGAGCCGTAATCTCCTTCATCCGGCGTTCATCCACGAGACCGGCAGAAAATCTCACGACGGGAGCTCAAAGCGTCGTTTGTTCTTCCCGTTGGAAGTCCGCGCAAAAAAAATAGCGATCGGCTGAGCTTCAAATATCAAATTATTATTACCCTTTAGTCAATTACAGCGGCCAGGGTCGTGCAAATCCGCCAGAGCTATTTGTTCTGTTGGTTGAAATGGCTTCATGTAATTTACCTCGTCTGATACAATTTGGATTGATGAAGCGTAAATCCAAATTGCGGCGTGGATATCTGCCCCGCATTTCACGGTAAAATGTGTACACCATGCTCGTGAGGTGTAGCTATATATGTATAGACGGTATGTTTTGTAGAGGAGAGGCAGTCAGTCGTATGCAGCGGAGAAGAGGCAGCTCTTGAGTCAGGACAGGAACAGGGGTATGGTGGAGTCGACAGCATGGATGTCTGGGGGACAGGCGCAGGGCAACAGAGGAGAAACAGTGACCTGCCAAGGTTCATTTCGGGTTCCAATAGAACGCCTCGGTTGCTGGAGGTTTAACGTCACTAACTCAAGCTACAAGATGATTAAACCGTACGCAGCAAAATATTAACGGACTTTTGTCAGTTACCGATAAGATGCATGATTCAGTGAGATACTGCAGGATCTGCCCATTGGATTGCCACAGAGCACTCGTTAATATAACTGGGTGGGCCTGTACTGCGCGTTGCTCGGCATGATGTCTGATGATGTGCGACGTTTCACTCCACGTGCCGGGAACTTCTTCTAAATCCGATTTCGATTGCTCAATCAAATTCGCTCTTCATCAAACATGTGGATAACACGTGGTACGACCCTGAAAAACGCATCGGAGAGCCACGGCCGTGAACACTTGCGCAGAAGTGCAGACATCGATTTGGCATCGCTGGCACGCAACAACAATTAATCCATGGGCCAGAGCAGAATTCAGTACCGCGCTGTGATGGCAAATATTGATCGATACCACAAATGTCTCAAGGGGTTAGTGGAAGGCGCCTTACAAATAAATGCGAATGATTATTTTGTCAATGTGGCTGATACAAGTGGATTATGCGACAACATACTTGTTAATTATGGGTTATTGCATAATTTGCATTCATTGCATAATTTGCATTCATCTTCCTCCCACATGTTTGCAATCTCTTGTTTGACGCATGTGTGTTCATATCACTCTAAGACTGAAATATCGAACCTACTTGCACCTGTACCTAACTTTTACTGGAACCTCTTTGCTCTCATTATATTGGCAGGGTTTTTTTTGTGTACATTAATTCACGTGTTTCTCTTACGACCGTACAAAAAAAATACCCGTATGTAAGCTGTGCGATATTGCTAAAGAACCCAATGTTTTTGTTTTGTGTTGCTGCTGCTGCTGTGCTCGCCGACCACGGATCTCTCGTGTAAAAAAAAAGTATCCGGGCAACAACTGGCTAAAGGGGATCATCCGTATAACAAATCGCAATAAACTCAACACTCAATTTTGGTACAACTCGAGTTTTGCCATCCCAAGTAAAATATTTGCCCTTGACCCACGGACCATAAATGTTTAGATTATTACGTATATGATTTGGCTATTATAAATGTCCACGTGATAAGCCACTTCATTGAACTGTCATTTGTGGCCAGGTCGCTTCGGAAAAATAACTCAATGGCACAGTGGGCTTTACCTTGTAAAATTAAAATAGGTATGTCTTTTTAGTGATTTGCTTAACTTTCCTATACTCTACACTCCAATCGCGTGTTCGTATTGTTTGCTGTTCTAACTTTCTGACCCGCCCCGACTGAACAACTGTGAAAAAGAGCTTTACAGCTCATCGGATTCTTCCAGCGTAAATAAATAGTCAGATTTGCTGAAAGATAGGGGCCGTGCATAAATGACGTCACGCACCTAGAAGGGAAGGGGGGGGGTCAGACATTCGTGACGATGTGTGGCGGGGGGGGCGGTTTGAGAAATGTGACGTCACATCAAAATGCGCAACTTTAAATAAATATAGAATTGTTATAACAACACTCCTACAACATATCAGAGTGCAGCGCCACATTAAACACGCACTACATTGACAATAGTTTAAAGCGCTTTGAAGCATGCTTTATTTTCAAAATGTAAATATGGTTTTAAGCGGGGGGGGGGGTGGGTGGTGGGGCAGAGCTTTGTGACGTCATATTTGAGGGGGGGGGTCTGACTTTTGTGACGCCGCGTGACGAGGTGGGTGGTGGGGGGGGAGGTCAAAAAATCGTCCAAAATCGCGTGACGTCAATTATGGACGGCCCCATAGCCCGAAATCGAACTGTCGCTGTCGCTGTGCGCGAGTCAGGCACTGGCTGGCGACGTGGTACGTGTGGTTCGCCACCCCCTACTTCCTCTACGACGTCTGCGCGATGTTCCTGTGCCACTGGCACCGGCGAGCCATGCGGGAGGGCGCCGGCGCCGCGCGCGGTAACGGCCCTGGACCAGACGGAGGCGGGCGGACCAAGTCCCGAGCCCTGCTGTGGGATCAGCTGGTGCAGACGGCGCGGCAGTTCCTGGCCAAGGAGACGCTCATGGTGATGCACCACGTTGGGGTGTGCATGCTCTGCTTCCCCGTGTCCACGGTACGTGACCACCGCGCGCCTTGACCCCCGCGACGCCGCGCGTTATAGCCACGAGAAAGTCGTTGTCGTCGTTGTTGTTGTGCCGTGGGTGGCGAACCTACGACCGCCCCCACCTCCACAGGCACGATATTTCATTCCGTACGGCCCGCGGACCACGCGAGGTCTACGGTTTTGCAGCGGCCCGCACAAAACGATGTCCGTCCGTCCGTCCGCCGCGGGCATCACCGCCGCACTAATCGGGCGCTAGAGGGGCATGTTTTTGACCACTGTGCCAAGTCACTTCGGTCGCTGCAGTGGCCTCTCGTGGTGACAGACGTCGCTGAGGTGTGTGTATGCGTGTTAATGCGTGGCCCCGCCGAAGGTATTTGAAAGGCCGATTTGACCCTCGCTAACGGAGAGGAGGTTCCCCGCCCATGTTTTAAGAACAAGAAGATGTTGCATTTATAAAGCGCCTTTTAGGACACGGTGCACGACGTGCTGTACTTCAGGAAATTTAAGAAACACAATAATACGTCGGGGATGCACTCCTGAAAGGCGCGAAGACTAATCGAAACGACGTAAATCAAAGCAATCGCCAACATTCTGTTCGTTAAATAACGCATCATACTGTACGACGCACTACTTTACATTTCTTTATGCGCGACGCAAAGTAGCTCATATTCTTAGCTCTTTCGGTAAAGTCACGTTGAGAATTTTGTTGTTGTTTATTGTTTGTTTATTGTTTTATATATATATATTACAAGAATTATTTATTTATTATTTTATTGTTTCCCTTCAACGTGCAATTCTCACGACGTTTCGTGAGTCGAAACGTCGTGAATTTTTTTTTTATTGTTTTATATATATTTTATTATTTTATTGTTTCCCTTCAACGTGACTTTACCGAAAAAATTCTCACGACGTTTCGACTCGCGAAACGTCGTGAGAATTTTTTTTATTGTTTTATATATATTTTATTATTTTATTATTATCCCTTCAACGTGACTTTACCGAAAGAACTAAGAATATGAATCACTGCAGTCACGAAAGCTTGAAATCAAAAGTAGCTCATGTCCAGGGTGGGTGGATGGCGAAGGCTCAGGCGACGGATACCGAGAAAGGACGGACGATGCTGTCAGCGACGTAAGTGTGGGTTGAGATGCCGCAATTCGGGGCGATGGTATTCATTGACGACTTACTCGCGAAGCGACGTAAAAGGGTGAGACGTAAATCGGGGGGCTCGGGGGCGGGGGGGTGTGGTGGTGCTGTATACCATTGGCCACTGGGAGTAAAAACTCAAGGAGACATGTCGGGGCTAATTGAGAGAACCGAAAGCGAGAGAGACGCAACGCCTTTCCATCCACTCAGTCTATCTACGGCACATGATAGACATTTTTGGCAAAAATAATATACCTTTAGGAGTCTACTGCCCCCCCCCACCCCCCCACCGCTTCAGTTCCTCCAATCCCCTCCTCTCCCCTGTCCCTATCTTTCTCCCAGTATGTAAATTATCTCACCCCTTACCCTTTTACCCTCGCCATATAAACTTTCACGTCCACGCTGGTGGTCCCCAGCCTGGGTGCGGACTGTAGGGCTGAACGATTTGGGGAAAATATCGAATTTGCGATTTTTCTGACAGATATTGCGATTCGATTTGCGATAAACACATTTTAAGTCAAGCTTCAGTTCAATATTCACTGTGATAGATTTAAAACACGTGATGGAGCATTACCACGTGATAACATCAAATATGAACTGCTCCATATATTCTAATGCAAGGATGAGAACTTGAAAGATATGAATTGCTTCCACAACATGTATTTATTAAAAAAATAGTTTTAAATAAAACAATCAAACATAGAATAATTGTTAAGTTAAATAAATACGGTTATAATAATAAAAAAATTCCAATAAGAAAGTAATAGGACTTTTCAAATCGTAAAAAAATCGCAGCCTTTGCGATTTGCTAATCGCATTGTTTCAAATGGCGATTGCGATTTGAAATCGATTAATTGTTCAGCCCTACTGCGGAGCAGTGAGCCCAGTTTTTTCCCCCGACACTGGGCCCTGTCGCGTCGAACCCGGGCTGCTGTTCACGGAATTTCTGTTCGCCCCCCCCCGCCCTCCGTTTAGTGATCGGTGCTTTGTATCAGGCTCACGTTGAGTTGGAATAAAACAAATATATTGACCAAAATAAAGAGTCCGTTTCTGGAGCAAATTGCGCACTCTAGCAGTGCGCTGCCGTGCGGAACCCCTTGCGAGTGCCATTCGCCGCCTAGCCGTCTCTGCCGGCAGCGGGCAGATAATCGGTGGTTTCGCTGGCCCAGCGGGGGCCCAAAGCGCACAAATCCTCGTGAGATGACACAAGAGATGTATACTTAGATAAGAGATGCGGGAGTCGTGAGTTAAGAGAGATGCAGACCAATATTAGGGTGTCGTGAGATTATTAAAGGCAGATGCTGAGATGAGAAGAGGTTCATCCGATTGCTATGCTAACTAGCGTGTTATGTTAATGAGGATCTTAATTAGAGGTGACATTTTGTGCACCCATATATTTTCATGAACGCGGAGGGCCCTTGGGATGCTTGGGGCCCTAAGCTGTTGACTTTGTTCGCATGTGCCTCGCGCCCGCACTGGCGTGAATACAACCCAGCAATTCTCTTTTATTTTTACGAGTCCCCGCGGGTCTCACATGACGCTCCTCTGGGACAACCGTAACCCCAAATTTGCAAGAAACCACGGCCTTGCGCTCGCAGGCAGCCGCCGTTCGGCCAAGGTCCCCAAAAACGTCTCTCCTCTCACCCCGTTCCGTCCGTCATCCTCAATCAACGGCGTGGCAGAGCGAACGGCGTGGCAGAGCGAACGGCGTTAACCGCGAACTCCCCCGCGTCGCCCCGCAGATGATGAGGGGAGAGCTCGGGGACTTCTTCCAGGGCTGCCTCTTCATGGCCGAGGTCAGCACGCCATTCGTGTGCTTCGGCAAGATTTTGCTGCAGGTACTGGACGCACCCCTCGCCCCGTTTGTCGGCGCGCGTTGTCCCACTGTCGCCGTTGGTTTGTGTATGGGTACCAAACTGTATGGGTACCAAACTGTATGGGTACCAAACTGTATGGGTACCAAACTGTATGGGTACCAAACTGTATGGGTACCAAACTGTATGGGTACCAAACTGTATGGGTACCAAACTGTATGGGTACCAAACTGTATGGGTACCAAACTGTATGGGTACCAAACTGTATGGGTACCAAACTGTATGGGTACCAAACTGTATGGGTACCAAACTGTATGGGTACCAAACTGTATGGGTACCAAACTGGGAAGTGAACATGGCCTTTTTTATTCTTATTCTTCTTTCGTGCTTCTCCCCGATTATATTCCAATCGTGCCCGTCGGCATCGCGTCCCAACAAGAAGCGTCTGTTTAGAACTGTCGGAGAGCAGTGAACGCCACCCCGTGTGTCAGAGAACAGCCCCCACAAGTTGGCTTCACAGAACGTTTTCTGAGATCACGTCACGTGTGACCCTTTTCTTGCCCACACGCCAGGGGGCAGACTTTCCCACGTATCCCGCGACGGAGATAAATATTTGCTTGGACATCGAAACCAATGTTGATGCGTGCTGGCTTTTATTTGTGTGCAGTCATCAGTGACCGGGCAGGAACCATCATCTAGCTAAGCTTGAGAACCCAGTTTAATCACCGGATTAAAACACAAAAATCTCAGCATTGTCGGCTCAATGTTCTGACCCCCTATTTTATCTTGCCACCTCTAGACTAGTGACTGATCTTTTCGGACAATATTTCACCCTGAGATAATTATCACGGGGATGAGCTTTCATGTTAAATGTTGAATTCATTGTCCATGGGCACGCGTACCAACCAATAAGCCACAGATAATACGAGATGTATATAATCATCGTCATGTCACGTTGACATCGGTGGAACAGTGGCGTAGAGAACGGTGACTACGAGCTCTGAACCCAGTGAACTGCCCCCGAGTCACAGCCACGGCGAACATCGGCGGTGAGCGATATCCGGAACCCGTCCTTGGCACCCCCCTTCACCAGCCCGTAAATAACGAATGCGGTGGAGTGTGGCAAAAACAGCCCCGATGACCGACCACTGGCTCAAGGGGGGCGATGCCTTCATCCCGTGGTCGTGGTGAAGTTAGTCTTTTGCCCCGTAGCGCATACCGCAAGCATTGTTGCTGCTGTAGCCGCGGGTTTGCCGCTTGTCGTTTTATTTTGTTATGCGCTTGCCCCGCTGCTCGCGTCTTGCGAAAAAAAAACACGCAACAATTCGCCGTGAAATTGACCCCTTCCAACGCGATTTTCGCGTCCGGAAATTTAATAATTGCATTCTCGAGCTCATATTCCCTTCGCAGGCAGAGAGAGAGAGTTCTAGCCTATGGCGCACGCCGAGCGAGTGGTGAGGGTACAAAATGCCGTAATTGGAATCATCGACTTGCAATCTGATGCAAAAGAACGGGGCATGACCCAGCCGTCTCAAAACACCACCGCCACGAGCTACCGCGGTCAGCAGATGCGAGCTGTTTGCAGCATGCAACCCTAACCCTCTCCCCGCCCACGCCGGCCTGTGCCAAAGCCGAGAGCTCTGATGCACGAGGTTAATACTGCCCGGGCTTTTGCGGTAACATGGCCTAGCGGTGGCGCGTTCTCCGTTTGTTGCAGAGAGCTTCACGGTTCGAAGCCAGCGGCTTGCCACCCCTCCCCCCTCCCTCCCAGGGCCGGGTTAAGGCACGGAGGGGCTTTAGGGGCTAGAGCCCAGGGGCCCTCTGCCAGCTGGAGGGCCTCCAGAGAATTAAGTGAAAAGTTATTTCAGTTGTGAATGCTGAATTGTATTTGTTGTTAGCCTTGTAAAAAATACATTTATTTTTTTCTTTAACTTTGTTTTACTTTTGAAAATATTACTGGGGGGGGGGGGGCTCACAGTACCTGTAGCCCAGGGGCCTACAGAATCTTAATCTGGCCCTGCCCCCACCCAACCCCGTTTAGAACCGCGGGTGTAGGAATTGTGAAAATACGTGCCCTTCTGGTTCCCAGCGGACGTTGGAGAACCCTCGAGGTCATCCACAAAAGTGCAGGCCACTCAAGGCCATGGTTCAATTCTAGAATAATTGTTTTATTGCACTGAAAGGTAGCGCCACTAGTGGCTGCCCGGGGTCACATGAACCCGTCACATGCAACGCCACGTGAATCGTAACACAACTTATTCTTACGTGTGCAATATTCAGCGTGTGTTTTGTGAGCCTGGGCAATCGGTATAAATATATGCATCGATGAATTATTATGCATCTAAAGACTGCGCGTGCGTTGTTCAAAAGAACATGGCACAGATAAACTGGAACTCACTTCCATTGGCATCTAACCCGACCAATACTGTTACAGCCTTGATAATGCCTTTGTGCAGCGAGGCAATGCTGGCTTACAGCTCAGTTATGGGGAACAACTAATGGTTGGTGATGATAACAGTGATCAATGATTATGATAATGATGAATTTGCAATGATAATGATGGCCGTGATGATGATGATAATTGATTATAATTTTTCTTAAATACATAACATCATTCATGAAAACTGCATCTCAAAACGCCACAGGCTTCAATATTTTCACACGGCTGGGTGAGGGGAGGGGGGGGGGAATTGCGTGGAAAAACCACAGTGAAGTGTGAAAGCAGCCGAAAAATGTCGCCAACATTTTACCCAAGCTCTGCGGTCCTATATTGGGGATGTTCGGCCAACTCCATTCACGATAATTTATGCACGATGACGACGATGGGCATAACAACGATGGCAATGGCGACGATGACGACGAGGACCGCCGTGACCATAGCAACGAGGACCGCCGTGACCATAGCAACGGAGGACCGCCGTGACCATAGCAACGAGGACGGCGACAGTAACCGTAGTCGATGCAGGTAAAGACAACGCCGCCGACGATAACAACGCCGCCGTTGCCTCGTGTGTCTCCCCCCGCCCTGCTCCGCGTGCGCGCAGTTCAAGCAGCAGGGCACGCTGCTCTTCAAGCTGAACGGCGCGCTCATGCTCGCCACCTTCTTCCTCTTCCGCCTGCTCGTCTTCCCCTACATGTACTGGGAGTACGGGCGGCGCGTGGGCCTCTCCGTCTGGGCCGTGCCCTTCTCGCTGCCGCTCGTCTGCAACGTCGCCGCCACGCTGCTGCTGGCGCCGCAGCTCTACTGGTTCATCCTCATCTGCCGCGCCGCGGCCTCCCGCAAGGGCAAGGGCTTCCGGGGGCCCCCGCCGCCCCCGCCCCCCGCCGGCGCCGTCGACCCCGACGGGGCCTCGTGGGGGGCCCCCGCCGACTCGTGGGAGGGGGCCGCCGCCGCCAACGGTCCTGACAAGCGGCCCGAGGAGGTGCCGAGGCCGTGCGGCCACAAGGCCAAGGAGGCGATGGACTAACGGGCGGGCCGAGGTTGGCCCGACGGACGGCGCCTGTGGCGTCGGCACGCTCGCGCCGGGCGGGATGTGGGGTTGACTTGCTGGCCGGTCGGTTGATTTGGTGGATTGACGAGCTGGTGGGTTAGAGCGCTGGTTGGTGGGTCGGCTGGTGGGCAGGTTGGCTGGCCTGGTGGCGGATTGGTGGGTTGACCGACTGGCGTGGAGGTTTGTCTGGTTGGTTTTCTGGTTGGTTGGTAGGTTGACTGGCTGACAGGTTGGCTGGTGGATGGGTTGGTGAAATAGTCGATCGGCTGGTCGGAGGGTCAGTGGGTTGGTGGGTTGACTGGCTGGTGGGCTAGTGAGCAAGTGGTGGATGCGGCTGTGATGGCAGCCTTGACGTGGTGGAGTTGAGGATGACCTAGTCTGCGGCAAGGTGGCGTCACGGGGTAAGATGATCGAGGGGTTCGTGCGATTTTCGTGAATAAATTTTTTTTGTTTTTGAATATTCATCGCCAGCCATGGTCGATCCACTGCTGGATGAAGTCCTCCGCCATGCCATCTCCGTCTTCTCACTGCGCGCACGCCGATTTTTCATCGCTCGGTCTGTGCAGCGGTGGCTGAACGTCCCTTGGCGGCGGCCACACCATCGTTACTCTTGGCGACCGGCCGTCGGGATAATTCGGCGTTTCTTTTTCTTTATTTACACAAACCACTACGCCTGCGTGTTTCGCGTCCTATTTATATTTATTTACCTGCTCGGTTTGGGCTCCCTCTCTCTCTCTCTCTGTCGTGGACGAGCACAGCACCGCGCCCGCTCAATGTGAGCGAGCCCCTCGCTTGCCGTCACGGTGAACCGCGCGTGTCCCCCACCCCCCCCCCTCATCCGAACGGTGAAACGCGCCGCCGAGTGGCGAGGCCGACTCGTCTCTCACGCAGGGGGCGCCAGCGTCCCTCGGCCCCACGCCACGAAGCCACGAGCTTCGACGGCTCGTGGATGGCATCGTGCGAATATGGGAGGATGTTTTAGGTGGTCGTTCTCTTGAGTTGGGTCGTGTATCTGGTTTGTTCAGGGCTTTACGTTGTTTTGTTTTTTTTTTAAAACCAAGCCAGTCTGGGTCGGCGACACGAAACATATTTTCGCACCCGGCACACCACGTCCAGTATACATCTCGCTACGGCTTCAGGCTGCTCGTCATGTGCCACCAACTCCAGTCTACGAGCGATCCGGATTATATTCGGTGAGAAATGATTCCCTGGGTAATGTCGTGTGTGGTTTATTGGCCTCTTCGTTTGTTTGTTTGCTTCGGATTGATGAAGAAACATGGGGTCATCTGCGTCCCACCGAGCTGCGACTTCACCCTGGTGGACTGGTCAACTCATCGGTGCTGCTCACCGCTGTGATCCCACAGTCACCGCCACTTACCGCTATTCATATCGCGCCTCCCATGCAGCTCATCTTCAGGTGCCCTGCGGCAGCCTATAGCTGGTGAGGGGGGGGGGGGTCGAGGGAGGGGGGCACCCCCAGCGTCAGCTGTCCCTGTGCGGCACAAGGCCAACTCTACACCGGCCTGTGGGTGGGATGTACATCTCCAGGCTGACGAAACTATGGCGTGGACGATTTTGTCTAACTACAAACGAACTATTTTTATTTTACCAGGTAAAGGCCCACTGAGCTACATAGTTCCTTTTCAGAAGCTGAACAAGGTGGCTTATCACGTGGAAATTTAAAGCAGCCAAACACCCTAAACGCATGTTGATTCTCAATGTGGAGGGGAAAACCGGAGGACCCGGAGAAAATCCACGGGACCACGGGAAGACCATGGAAACTACAAATATACAGACGTCGGGGTCAGGATCAAACCCACGACCTCCTGTACACCAGGCGAAGTAGTTAACATATTTTCACTGTGGCACCCCTTTAAAGCGAGGGAATGGCTTACGTTCATTTCGCGTGCAAGTGCTCGATCTGGCTGTCTCCTCCAGCATTGAAACGGAAAATATTCAGAAGGAAGACAGCTTGCTTGGATTAGCTTGGCTTGGCTTATGGTACACATATACACACACACACTAAAAAACACGGGAGTCACTTCGCCATCACTGGACACTTGACAATAACGAGAAGATACGTCCGGAGTGTCCCGCTACGAGCAGAAGAAAAGCGAGGACTGATGAAACAGAAATGTGCGCCGTGCAGAAGTGACTGTGATGTTCGCCGCAACATGCATTGTACATAGATTACGCGTAAATGCGCACATATATAGATACAGTACACGTGTACGTATGGCTCTACTGTGCATGGTCCGGACAGCGTCGCGCGCTTACGTGCCGTTACACTCCGTTACATTTCCGTGCTACGGTCTACGGTCAAGCACGTGGTCCATGCACGTTTGTGATAAGGAGAGCAGCATGGGGTGTAGGGTTGGCGGAGCACGCAGAGACGGAGCCGTCTCGTGAAGCAAGACGCCCGATCCCTTGCCGAGCGAGTCGGCGTTTGAGCCATGCGTGTGGGAGGTGGGTCGTGTTATGTGCGTTCAACTTCCTTTGCACAGTATGTAGACGAGCGTGCTAATCGGATGTCCGTGGGCTTTCTCCAGCCTCTGCCGTGTCACCTTCCCCCGCACGAAAGCCGTTTGTTTAATGGGAAGAAAACTGACCGAGCGGCCGATTCCCAACACCGTCGTAAAAGTAAGACTTGAGACTGTGAGGCTTTCCTTGAGTACGCATTAAAGCGTCGTTATGATGATGATTATTATCATGTACATTTGTAAGAGCCATGAATTCGTTCATTTGCGAGTTTGTCTCGCGAGTCACAGTACTCGAGTAATTTATGTCACGCAGAATCGATTAAGGGCTCATTCTGACTGTAAGAATCCAGAAACGTATGATAATGATGATGATAAGCTATGTATGACCTTTGACATAGGTAAAACAATTTAAAGCTTTCGTGACTGCAGGGATTCATCTTCTGGGTTCTTTCGGTAAAGTCACGTAGAATGGAGATAAAATAATAAAAATAATAATAACAGAATATAATTCTCACGATGTTTCGGCCACAACACAAGTAGCCTTCCTCAGGTGAAGAAACAGGACTGTCCGGAAGACAGCGCTGAAGACAGCGCTGTCTTCCGGACAGCGCTGTCTTCCGGACAGTCCTGTTTTTTCACCTGAGGAAGGCTACTTGTGTTGTGGCCGAAACGTCGTGAGAATTATATTCTGTTATTATTTTTATTGTTTTATCTCCATTTTACGTGACTTTACGGAAAGAACCCAGAAGATAGGTAAAACAATAGTGAATTCATCCCATCGTATGACAGGCTGGTACCGACTCGTGCATTAGGTCTTGAAGTTAAATCAAAACGAGTTGGGGAAATCGTGGAGACTACACGTGTCTTCGGGTGTGTTTTATTCGCAGTTCGGAAGCGGGGCGGGTGGCTGCCAAGGAAAAATGCCTTTGAAAATTGTGAATTTTTTTTGCAGCGGTTTGGGTCTCCAAAGTTTTGTGTCTCATCCTGTGATTAATTTGGACGATTTTCAATTGGGTAAGTCCCTTCATGTTGGATAATTCGGAGAGTGATTGTGCCGCCCCTTCCCATAACGAAAGGACAGACGGACCAAAAACGCACACACACTTTCAACGGTAGTTGTAAAGTAAAAAAAAAACGTTGCCTCTCGTAAGCGAGTCTGGTCACCGGCCCAGACGCAGCTGCCCCATTGTTGCGAGAGGCGCAGCAGTAAAAAAGGGCGTGTGCCACCACCACCACCACCAATCATCGCCACGACCACCACAGCTGGCACACCTGATGCCCCAAGAGGCCTTCCTGCCCCTGCCCGTGCTCGCGAGTTCCTCGATCGATCCCTGGGGGAGGGGTTGCCACCCGCGAGGTGCAACAAGCCACACAGACAGGTCGCGCGCACACCAAGATTATCGCTCCGTTGCCAAGGGAGAAGTGCATGTACTGTGCGTTGTCTGTGTATAGTGATCTTTTTTTTTGTTCAGCACCTGACAGTAAAATATGGGACTCTAATGTCCCCGACAAGACTTGACAAGATTTCCCAAGACAGGGACCCCCCATTCCACCTACACCACCACCCCACCCCCCCCCCCCCCACAAAAAAGAGAACTATCCCGGGACAAAACAAGGGGAGGTGGCAACCCCTTACGAGCTTCTCGCGTGCGTGGAGACAAAGGAGGGACACGTAGAGCCGGTGGTGTTAGTGCGGCGCGATTGTCTGTGCGTGTGTCGTGATCCGGCAGCAATTCTGTCCGTTGGGATTTTTACATTGAGATGCGGGCGGGGCTGGTGAGGCTAGAATGGATGAATATTTTACAATTGTGTTCACGGCCATCGTCGTCATCATCATCGCAGCCAAAATGTCTTCCCTTCCTCCCCGCGTCTGAGCGCCCGTCGAAGCGAATTTATAAATTCACCTCCACGAGCCGTGTCTCCAATTGCTTTCGTGTGTTTCCCTTGAATTATTTGTTCCGCCGTATGTTGCTTTGCACGTGAGGCTATATATCCATGCATTCTTAACCAAAACCTAAAATGTTGGACAAATGTCCACACTTTCCAATGACAACGATCACTCTCAACCTGCTCCAACTGACCATTTCCCCTCACGTTACATTTGATTTGGCTTCCCCCGTGACACAACGTCGAATCGAGGTTTCGCTGTCCGTGCATCAGAGGGACGGTGAGCACGTTCTGCGAATGCTACCGCAGAGCGTTTGCGTCGACTTTCCACGGCTTCTAAAACAACATCGGCGAAGGGCGGGATTGGAGACCTATGAGTGAGAACTTTCCCCACTTAACTGGCAGATCGTATGCCCACTAACAAGTCGGTGCCGTGTACACCTCGTGGCAAGACGACGGAAGGGGGCATTGCAAGGGATAAGTTGTGGAGCCCATGCGCTCTGAGTTGCTTCTTCTGCGTGTGGCGGGGCGATTCGCAGCGTTCAGTGTTGACGTCGAGGTTGGCGAGCCGGATGAGGTTTTTTTTTTTATGCGAGCGACGTTGCGAATGTGAGCGAGGCTGCTCCCAGCGACCGGTCCTGTCTCTTCAGTCCTCCTGCCCTGTGATCATAACGAGACGGGGGGGGGGGGCGTCCAGAACACAACGCAACTGAACATCATTCGTACACCGAATGTTGTTGTTGTCGTTTTAAGCCAGACTGTTCTCTGGTTACGATCACCGACAGGAGGGAGACAGGGTGGGCAGGCTACAGAAGCATCGGACGTTTCTTGGACGTTGTGTCCCTTGTGCGGATCGCTTTTACACCGGTGGATGACAACAACCACCGACCACATTTCACTTACCGTGACATTTAAACACCTTAATATATGCAAATACTCATCCTAACTTTCGGAGGGTGATTTATTATTAACTTGCCACGACATTAGTCCATTCAGCACCTCCCAAAGCCATGCAACAGTGCTGTGACCAACCACAGTCCGTTCACGTGCAAGCATCGCTAACAAAGAGGACCCTTAACAAAAGATCGCAGTTGTGTTGTTGTGCTCGTCACTGCCTGATACGCACGTGTCGTAGACTTTTTGTCAATCTACTGCTGGATGATGATCTCCCCAGCGCCATGCGGGTCGCGGGAGTTATTTTCACCATACTTCACCACGCTGGTCAGTGCGGGTTGGTGAGGGCGGGTGAGCGGACGTGGGACCATAGATACTCCTGTACAACTGCATTTTTACCGCACTGCCCTCTGCTGCCCCCCCCCCCGCGGAGCTCCACAGCCATTGTTAAAAAAAACAACACAGTATACACACTGTTGTGCACAACTAATTAGTGCCGTACATTTGGCTCAATGTTTACGTTTTTGGTAACGCATTCCAAACCACGCTTTTGGACCACAGCTCATGCGTACCAAGTGTATAATTGCGTGCGAAATGTATGCGGTGGATAAACATCATCTTGACACACCAGAAGCCTTCACCGTGAGTGAACGATCATGCAATTGACCTTCGCGAGCCTGTGCTGCGTACATGGGCTTGGGTTAACTTCTCGTGGAATTCTGCGCAGATGGCGTTCTACGGGGTATGCAACTACTCCCTGGATGAACGTCGATTCTTGCACGCGTAA